GATAAACTGAGGAAATAATTGTTCTGATGGCGTGGTTTGCATGATCAGAACGGAGCTAAAGCAAAGAGATGACACGTTAAGAAGATGGACGGATTTTTGAACAAGGATACACCCTGTAATAGAGACGTTTTAACCCTTTTAAAATGAATGAATAGCACACCACATCGTTATGCGTTAGTCCGGCATATATCAATGCATTTAAAACTGCAATACAACGTACCAGGTAGCATTGAGATCTGCCGCTTTTCGAGGTGCTCTGCATCTAAACTGCGCCCATATAGATACCACAACATCACGACGAGGACCGCATTGCCATATATCGTCTCAGAATCAGACGTATAGAGTACGCGTACGATATATTCTAAGTCCTATTTGGAGCACGGCGGCACTTTCGTTTCAAAACCGCATCCTCTCGGTTGGTGCAATATTTACCAAGCCCAGACAGGATCTTCTGTAGCTGCGCCTTTACTGTTCCCTCTTGCTGCGGATACTTATCTGTTAAATAGTTCTTTGCGTTTTCGAATTAGGCAAGACACGCATTGATAGATCGGGCTTTGTCTGTCGATTGGGCTAGAGAGTACGCATATTTGTCTAGTACAATTTGAAGTACCTTACGGGTCTTGTCAGCGTCGATTAGCTGTTGAACTGCATCTAGTGTAATGCTCTCTGAACAAAGAAACGTGTTGAATGAGTTGATCGCCGCCACTCGGGTCTTCTTACTGTTATCTGGCGCCAAAGACGCGATAGACATGATCACAGCTCTGCAAATTGCTGCCTCTTAGGAAACAACGGCTTACCGCCACCTCGGTTGGAAATCTCCTGATATTATTAGAATATGCATTAATATGAAGCTTTGTAAGGAGTGGAACATATTCCGAAAAAAAAATCCAACTAGACATGGTCGGATTAGCCGGAATGCGGTGATTATTTTCAAAGCTTGGTCATTGGATAAAATGAGACTGAATAAGAAATCTAATTGGTGGGTAAGAGATTGTATATTTCCATGGACGAATCTTGGTTGGAATGTTGCGGGTATTATACCATAGCAGGACCCTGCCGACACGCCGACAAAGCCGACATGATGTGGCCCACACAATCGAAAAAGAAAGACACTAACTGTAGCGGGCCAGACGTGTGTCCCGTTACTAGCATACACGTAACGGTGAGGAAGCTTATGGATACTTAGCCCAACTACCTAGTTAAGGGTAAAATTAACTCTGTTTTATTAGATCCAGGGCGGCTGCCCTTGACCTCATGTGAACCGATCAAATGAAAGTCATCACATGATTGGCTGATAATGGGTATGGGTCCCCATTAATAACCAGTTCAATTAACGACAATTCAAGACACGCTACCCGTGTGCCATTTTGCCGACTTATGTAATATCTAAAACTAAACTACTTATGTAACTGGGGTGACCCGTTGCATCACCCCCTTTTGTACTTCTTTCAGTCATCGCGGAGAATGCCCCTGCATGCACGCGGCGACTTATCACCTTCATCGCTGCGGGGTAGTTCACTCGACTCACTCACGCTTTGGGACGTAAGTGTCTTCTCGTATTCGTTCACCACATCTGGAACGTCTTCCAACAAGCGACTGCGTGGCTCCCAAGTATCATCAGCCGGAGACAAACTGAGCCAACGCACTCGATAACATCGCTCATTACTCAGCGGGGCTTGATCTTGTGGCAACTCTCCGGATGGAACACCGCGAGCACCGCGAAGCTGACGTGTGTCGTGGTCGACATTTCGCTCAACGGTCCAACGTTGGGCGCCCGAGGCGTCGATCAGTGGCGGAGGCCCGTTTCGATGGAATGTCGGCGTACTATCTGAAGACGTGTCAACGTTCGCGATCTCGGATGGATGGTACTTCTTGAGACAGTTGACGTAAAACGTCGGGTGCAGCCGCATCGATCTTGGGATATAGAGCGTGTACGCCTCACCGAGTACTTTTATCACCTTGAAGGGCCCAATAAAGCGCGGCGCGAGCTTGTTCGCGCCGAGGTTGGTAATTGCTGAGTCACGAATACCATCTGTCAACAGTAGCACACGTTCATCTGTCGTAAATGAAGCTGTGTTCTTTCTTCCTCGTTTGCTTGAGTTCTCCTTTTGCTTGTCGACTGCTAACTGTAGCGCGTCACGAACATAGCGGGCGACTGCTAGGCATCTCGGTGCGTAGTTTGCTAGCGATGCGTTCGATACGGCACCAGGGTTAATCAGGTTTTGATCAGTCCAAGAGACGAGGGAAGCCGCAGCGTCGCGCGGCGTCGACAAGATCTTCTTGGCCTGAGCGCGCGTCACCGCGTTAACCGACGCGTTCGTTAAGGCTACACTCGACAGATCCTTGGCAACCGGTAGAGATGCCGGTTGGCTCAGCGCCGGTGTCGTCGCTGGTGGTGTCGGAGTTGAGGTAGGGGTGGACTCCTTGCACTCAGCTTCTTCCCCACCCAGAGTAGAGACACGCGGAACCGTGGGATGTCCCACGGCGAGGAGGGCAGGAACACGCGGGTGCCGCGCATTGTTAACGAAGCACGGCGTCACCAGTCGACGCGTATACTGCGTTACTTAGCGCAAATTCTGCGAGGGGGAGGAACGAGCTCCAACTTGTGAAAGACGTTGCGTAGCTTCGAACAACATCTTCGAGGACACGGTTCACACGCTAGGTCTGGCCGTCCGCTTCCGGATGGGCTGCCGTCGACATCAATAACTTCGTTCCCAAGAGCTCATAGAGCTTCGACCAGAAAGCGGACGCGAGTATCGCCTTCCGCTGAACTTGTGGTTCCGGGAGATTAATATTGTCATCGCCTCGAGGTTGCTCGAGGCGCCATCGGCTAAAGTCAATTTTCTTCTCTCCCGGCTGTCCGGAAAGGCTAATGAATGGGCACTCGGCAAGCTGGTTGTCGACACTAACGCCTTTCCCACCCTGGAAGCGCTCCTGGGCGATCTTCGGCTCGCTTTCGAGCTGCCTCAAGATGAATCCCGCGTTCGAGCGGACTTCTTTGCCCTTCGGCAAGGCTCGATGTCTATGCGCGACTACGTCCAGAAGACGCGACACCTCGCGTCGTGTATCGTAACCAAGCCCATCGACATGGCCTCTCAGGTCTACGTCTTCGTGTTCGGCATGCGTGAGGGAATGACACGTTACTGCCTCACCCGAGCCGAGCCTTCTTTTCTTGAAGAAGCATTTGCCCTTGTGCTCCGCAAGGACTACGTGGTGGTATCATCTTACGCCTGTGCGCTATCTGCGTTCGCTCGAGAGACGGTTCCGAGCCCATGGAGATCGACGCAATCGATGCGTCGAACAGTCGCCAACGCAATGGTTATCGCGGGGTACACCGGTCGCTTCCTTACCTGCTTCCGTTGACGGAAGCCTGGTCATCGCGCGGGCGCGCCCGTTCCGGTTCTCGCACATGTCGGTGTCGAAACTGCTCCTGTCGTTCAGCCAAATAAAAAAAATAGTCAGGGTCAGTTGGTGGGGGGCGCCGTACTGGCTGGAATGAAGGTCCCCCCCCCCCCGTGGCAACCCAACCTTCTATCCCTCGTGTGCTTGAAGTACACTTTAATGCCACCACCACACCGAGCGATTCGAGATTGATCATTGTCAGTCTTCACGTCGCCGGTGCCCGGCAACCACTGTGGACATTCCTGGACTCAAGAGCTTCCGTGCGTCGTGTCTGTCGGTACTCTCATCGGCAATCAGCGTCCGTGATGGTCGCGGCGAGGTTTCCGTCAAGCTCGCCGATGGCAAGCCGCGCCACGTGGCAAGGCGTGAGATAACACTGTCGTACACGTTTGACAGCTTCCGCAGCAAGGACGACTTCCTTGTGATTGATA